AACTGAATGGCTAGGGCTGCTATGAGGGTCACTTCCACCATGTTAAGATACCAGCAAAGCAGAGGGATCAGGAAGCAACAGGATTTATGGGAAATGTGGTTTTAATTAGAGGAGCACAGCTCAGAGACAGGGAATGCATTCACAATGTGAGTCATTGCATCAGCATTACAGTGGGCGTCGGGAAGGTCAGATACTTTGGGATTAGCTTTGAAAGCTACATCAGCAACATGTCCAGGGCAGCCTTTTATCACTTGAAAAATATATTGAACATTGAAATTTCCTATCTTCATTCTTGTTTCTATTAGTTTTTATTCTTTTAATAATTTTATAATTTTGTCATTGTATGAAGTACTTTGTAGCCCTGACTTTGAAAGTCCAGTACAACACCACCTTTAACTATGACCTCATTAATGAACATATAATTGAATTTATACATGTATGACACTATCACCAAAAACTGAAACATTTTGGGCTTCATAAACACAAATGCTAAGGCAGAAGTGTGGCATTGAAGTGTATACAGATGTACAGGTGGTCATAATGTTATGCCTGATTGGTGTATAGTCACATTACAGTAGAACTCATCAGTTCTGTCAGCGGCATTGAACTGCAGTATTAACTGTAAGCTCTGTGCAATTCAAATCACAGGGTACTTCTTGCTGTTGGGACTAACACAACTTACTAATGCTTCCAAAAATAATAGGAGCAGGTGCTGATACAAAAGTCCAAACCACAACACAGATTAACTCACTTGATTCATTTTTAAGTGCTTTATTCAGCAACAAATGATTGCACTGTGGAAGGATAAACCACAAAGAAAACATGAAACAAATCAGGTTTCCACAGTGTATGGAACACAGGGCTGTTAGTGATATGAAGCCCCCTGCCAAATGAGAGCCTACAACTATGTCAGCCAAAACACTGCATGCCATTATATTCATATTTTCTGTGGATCACATCCATACATGATCATGCTATGACAAGACTGCATGTTATGTGTGAACTTGGACTTCAGGAAGAGCCCCCCACCTTCCCCCCACTCACCATACTTGGCAGCACTGCATCAGCAGTAAAGTCCTACAAGTTCCTGGGCTCCACTATCTCCCAGGACCTGAAGTGGACGTCCAACATCAGGACCATCATCAAGAAGGCACAGCAGAGGATGTACTTCCTGCGCCAGCTCAGGAAGTTCGACCTGCCCCAGGAGCTGCTGATACAGTTCTACAGAGGAATCATTGAGTCTATTCTCTGCACCTCCATCACTGTCTGGTTTGGCTCAGCAACCAAACAGGACAAGTACAGACTTCAGCGGACAGTCAGGACTGCAGAAAAGGTCATTGGTGTGAGCCTGCCCTCCATGGAGGACCTGTACACCTCACGGGTCAAAAGGAGGGTGGAGAGGATCACTGCAGACCCCTCACACCCTGTACATAGTCTGTTTCAACTCCTCCCCTCTGGGCGGCGTTACAGGTCACTGTGCACCAAGAAAACCAGGCACAAGGACAGTTTCTTCCCCCAGGCTGTCACTCTGATGAACACCTAACCCACGACAGTAGGATTAGACAATAACCCTCAGTGCAATACCTGTAAATATACCTCGAACAGATTATACAGATTCGTACAGGTCTCTATTTTTAAGTACTCTATTTTTATTCCTATTTATCTCATTTCAATTTTGTCTGTATTGTTTACTGCCTGTTTAGTTGTACCAGAGTCAATTTCCTCGTGTGTCTGACACACCTGGCCAATAAAGCAGATTCTGATCTCTCTCAATGTACACATGCTTGGAAATGATAAGTGTAAATATTAATAGGACAGGTCTATTATTGTGACCAAACTGTAGCCTTTGGTGAAAGACAGGTTTTCCCAGCATGCTCCCTGTAGCTGGACAGAGGAGGTTAGGCAAAACAGGCAGAATACATTTATTCTTATCTGTTCAACTTCCAGCTGATACCTCAGACATTTGCATTACTACTGATTCACTGCACTTCCCTGTTTGCCTACCAGTAGCATCAAACATTCATTGTACTGGGGAGGTAGTGACTGTATGTGACAATACAACTGCTACTAATAATAATAATACTCATACATTAGGTTATGCATTAAAATTAAACAGTATGTTTAGTCTATTTGCATTTAAAGATGTTACTTTTCACTTCTTGTTTTTTCTGCTTTTGGCATTTATCAGACATATTTATAGAAAGTTGTTTAATATTGAAACTGAAACACAGCCGTTATTCTTTTTCCAATGTGAAGTCAAACACCAGTCCTGAAAAGTGTATTATGTAGCATGGATGTGACAGTTACATCAGTGCTAGAAAAGTTTAAGTTCCTTATGATGTGCAGCTTCTTCATCTAACCTTAAAAGAAAAACAGTTTATGGGAAATGTAGTAGCTACCTGCACACTGAAATATACCTAATGACTATACATTTGTTCTTTCATAAGTGAATCTTCTTGTGAAGTATAGTTATTTGAAAGGAATACATTTCTGTTTTTGCAGTTCCTGCTTCAATATGCAGAACCAGGAAGCATGTTTTCTTGTACTATGCTGCCACTTAGTGTTGACTTTTGGTCTTCCACATTGAGTGTGAGTATAGAAGCTGCCGTTTGTCAAGCTGATGCAAGTTTTTGATTGTTGAAAATATCTTTTTTGATCTATGAATTTATTGCTATTAGCTTTTGTTACCCCTTAAATTCAGCATCAGCGTTTTAACCCAAAATGTCACTAGTGCAGTAAAAAGTTTATACAAAATTTCCATCTTGATGTTAATCATTAATGCAAATAATCACACTGTATAATGTAGCATTTATGATACGGTGATTTGACATTTTTGAAAGGTTCAAGTAAAAATCCTTCTTTTAGAAGACCTAAACTTTAGAATCAAAATTGTCTATCAAATTTCTTTTGACTTAAAAAAAAGACTCTAAAGGTTTGTTAATATTTACCAGTACTACAACCCCAAATCAGAAAAGTTGGGGCAATATGTAAAATCAAAAATAAAACTGAAAACAGTGATGTGTAAATCATCTATGTCCTGTATTACATTGAAAACAATAGCAGCACATTATTTGATTTGATACAGTACCTCATCAATTTTATTCTTTGTTCAACATAAGCACTCATTACAATTCTGATGCTGCAACACATTCTAATAAAAGTTGGACAGCTGCATTTCAGGGCCAGTAATGAGGTAAAACAATGAAATGATGACTCCATTTGAAACAGGTGATGTCAACAGGTGACTGCATCATGATTCGGTACAAAGTGGCATCCAGGAAAGGCCGAGCCCTTTAGGAGCAAAGATGGGCCGAGGACCACCAGTTTGCAACATATGTGTGAGAAAATTATTCAAATGTTTAAAACCAATGTTCCTCAAAGAACGATAGGAAGGGATTTGGATATGTCGCCTTCTATGGTGCAAAATATGATTAAAAGATTCAAGGAATCTGGAAGGATTTCAGTGTGTAAAGGGCACAAGCCTAAGCTGGATGACCGTGCTCTCTGATCCCTCAGACGTCACTATGTCAAGAATCGTCACTCTTCTATAGGCGATACAACCACATGGGCTCAGGATGACTTTGGCACACCTGTGTCACTACAATATGTAGTTACATCCATAAAAGCTGCTTAAAACTGTACTGTGCCAAAAGAAGCCCTGTGTCAACAGTGTCCAGAAGCACAGTCGACTGATCTGGGCTCAGAGGTGTCTGAGATGGACCATCACACAGTGGAAAACGTATACTGTGGTCAGACCAATCAGTCTTTCTTGGAAGGAATGGACACCATGTGCTCTGGACCAAAGACGAAAAGGACCATCCAGACTGTCACCAGCAACAAGTCCATCTGTCATGGTCTGGGGTATTTTGAAACACAATTTGCATCAACAAAGACCCAGGACTGTTGACTTGTTTTCAGGAACAATGGGATATAATAACACCTGACACATTTAATCACTTGGTGTCCTCAGTCCCTAAACATCTTAAGTGTTGTGAAAAGGAACAGTAACATCACACCATGGTAAATGCTTTTTGAACATGCTTTTGTTTCATTCTTAGAAATTTGATAAACATTATTTATCATGTGTTCAGAGAAGGGTCAGTCACAAGGACTTATATCCTACACTTGTCCTGCTGTTAAAAAACCCTATGAAACATTTACTATTTCATTTTTAACCTATGAAATAAATGAGCACCTAGCCTTTAATAAATTAAAGAATGTTATAGTGACCATATAGATTGAGAATCATTTGTGAGGTTCTTGTATATTTGTAAGTCAGCCAGATGCGTGCCTTACTTTCCCTGTTTTTTCTATAAAGCTAACTCAGAGAATTCAAATAAATCATTTTCATATAACATTTATACAAACCGTAGTAGCATTTCCATAAAGTTTAGGATCAATCCATTTAGTCCTTTCTGTTTTATTATTCATTGGTTTCAAACTGTGGAGCACTGAGTAGCGCCGTCACCTCACAACAAGAAGGTTTCGGGTTCGAGCCCTGGCTGACCCAATGCCTTTCGGTGCGGACTTTACATATTCTCCCAGTGCCTGCGTGGGTTCTCTCCGGGTACTCCAGCTTCCTCCCACAGTCCAAAGACATGCAGCCTAGGTTGACTGGTGACTCTAAACTGCCCATAGGACTGAGTGTGACTGTGTGGTTGTTAATCTCTAAGTGTCAGCCCTGTGATAGACTGGCGACCTGTCCAGGGTGGACCCTGCCTCTTGCCCAGTGTCAGCTGGGATTGGCTCCAGCCCTCCACACCCCTAATTCGAAATAAGCAGTATGGATAATGGATGGTTTCAAACATCAGATGCTAACTCCTGACTGTCTGAAGTCAACTTGTAGATCTAAATAATTCAATTCAGAGGAACATTTGATAAGGCATGTGGTCTTGATTGTAAGAGCACAATCATGTAATTCTTAGATTTTTAAAACTAAGTCCAAAGAATGTGATTCAAATCATACTCAAATCAAACCATGCAATATGCCCTCCTGTTTGCTACATGTGGTTTTCAGCTTTATTCAGGTCTTTCCTTGAATCTGTAAAATGATGCATAAAGAAGCAGACTAAATTATCTTATTTCAACTGAATTTATGAGCTATTGAAATGTTTACATATTGGCTAACACACTTCAATCAAAGACATTCTGAAGCAAGATCATTTTATCAGACAATGTGATTTCCTTTGTTTGCTTATTTACAACATGGAATCTGTGTCAACATTTGTAAGCAGTGGTGTTTCGGGGGTTGCAGGGATGGTCCAGGTCATCTACAGCAGTGTGCAGCTTTTCCTTGGATCACTCCACCCCCCTCACTGCAGGTGTTGTATATGCTCCACCCACCTTTCTGCCAGTTGTAAAATGCACAGCCTTTATGCTGCAAAGTGACATTAAATATTGGTGAGGCATTAAAAATACCTGTTGCTGCAAGAAAACTGTGAATATTCTTTAGTCTGCACTTGATGAGAATAAGTCAAATATTCCAGTTGACTGAAGTGGCAGCATGAGAAGAAACCTCCGTCCTCAGTGACTCAGACTATAGATAGCATCTGCCTACATACAGCTTACTTTTACTGTAGTAGCATCAGATTTGAAACAAAGCTCGTTATTTATGACGTTAACGTCTTTGCCCACTGTAAGTGTAACAAACTGCTGATGAACCATAACCAGGATGTTATGCCACACTCCTTGATAAGTGCAGCTCTGCAGTATTTCTCTCTGGTGCTTGCATTCTAAAACCAAACCAGCCAAAGGGCGTGATCAACAGGCTCATAATGTGTCAGTTGCCTCTTTTGCATTTTTGGTCACTTTTTTCAAAGAGCGCCTTTGACATATCTGAATGAACTTCCTGTGCTCTTTGGTGTCTTCTTCACCTCTTGTTTCTCTTTGGAGCGTCAGACATTTACAGTTGCCTGCTGTGACCCTTTGAATTAATGTAGTTAATCTGCAACCCACACAATAAAATATGCAAGACTGTGGTAATATTTTACCTGGTGGGAGGACGTCCCTCTGAAAGTGTCCTGGCGTGTTCATGTTGCCAGGCGGCAGGTACTGCCCCACCACAAAGGCCCTATGGCCATCAGTGGCCAGACCCACTCCTAGCTCAGTGCTGTCCTTCCACACCACCTGAGTAAAATGACCTGCAGGAAGAAACACAGCAGTGTGTAACGTCAGTGTAGTGTTGTTTCTAGAAGAAAACTTGTGTTGTAATAAATGCATAATATTGTATACCTGCACCTCTGAACTGACATAAAACTATTATTAGAACAAATTATTACAGAGCAACATAACAAATTAGCTAAATAATTTATTCTTATGGTTTAAACTTTATATGATAAATGTTTTAGGCAAGCAGGTATACACATGTATAAAATGTTTACATATTTACTCATCTACACATTTTAAATCGGTCTCTATTTGCGGACATCCTGTATTCAGTGTTGGTCAGTTAGTGTCTTACCAGTATTCATCCTGAACCCAGGCATATGCCAGCTGTAATCTTTGATCTCTCTGTACCACGCATCTACAGCTTCTTTGCCTAAGGTATGAAAGAAAAAAATGCATCCTCATCATATTGTTGTGTTGATGTTTGTTGGGTTTTCCCTCTGTAATAATAGTGATAACAGTAAGGTCTAGACCTTACTTTGTGAAGTGTTCTGAGACAACTTTTGTTGTGATTTGGTGCTATGCAAATAAAGTTTGCTTTGATTTAATTTGATATAATTTGATGTTCCCTGTTGATGCTGTATGTGTTTCCTCTTATTAACCAAACCTAACCTCATTCCAACCCTCACCACCCAATGGGATGATACAGGAAACACAGTTTTAATGGGAGTGAAACATTCAGTCAAGGATAGTGGAGTTTCTTCTTTCACCATTAGTCTCAGTGGAATCAATCACCATAGCATTACGATTTTAAAAAGTTAGCAGGAGAACAAATTAACGAACTTCAAATACAAAAATGAATGTGATTTTGAAAGTATGATGAATGACTGGGCCAAAGTTTTAAAAAGGGATGAAGACCATGAGATTGGGTCACCTGTCAGTTGCCTTGATGAGCCGTACGTACAGAAGATGTTCTCACCAGTTCCTGAATGACTGTGCTGCAGGGCTCCTATTGCCAGCAGGTAATTGGCCCAGTTCTGAGCTGAAGCATTCAGCTCACTGCTAAGCTCCAGTGGGGGCACGTGGTGTTTTGCCCTGTA